AAAAAACAAATTCAAGAGTAACGATCTTTTTTAAACCTTTATTCAAAAAATGCCATGCTCAAAGTAAATACTCACTCCACGTTTCTGGTAACAATCAAATCATAGCCCTTTGCTTCCTTGGAAGTCTTTACTCCTTCTTTAAACCTCGTTGTAAAACAAGTCTCCCTCCATGCTTGTCCCATCTCCATTCTTTTTTCTTCACTACTCTTAGAAAAATTAAAATGCCACCTTAAGCTCAATTGCCCTTTCCAAAAATAAACTGAAATTTTCTAAGGAGGAAATTTCCAGCCTGGATCCAGTTCCAGGTTCCATGGTTCATAAGCAGATGGCCACAACTGAAAGAAAAATAACTTTAAAAAGGGTGCTAAGAATAGAACAATCTGCTCCTACATGGAAACTCTTTTGAACATGTAGCTTTTGTAGTTTCTTCTTTATTACTTTAGTCAAACAAGCGCAAGGGGAAGAATATCTTCCTCTTTGTGCCTCAGGTTTCAGTCTATTTGATGAAGAAGAATTTGTGATTGAACTTCTTATTTCTTTACCAACTTTGGTAGAATTTTCCTAGCCTTGGAGGGATGTTCTTGATGAAGAATGGTTGCAGGATTTGGGTTTGGCTAGTCTAGAGAAAAGAAGGATTAGGGGTGACATGATCACAGAATTCCAGAATTTGAGTGGCTGCCACAAAGAAGAGGGGGTCAATCTATTCTCCAAAGCACCTGAGGGCAGGACAAGAAACAAGGGATGAAAACTAATCAAGGAGAGAAGCAACCTGGAATTAAGGAGAAACTTCCTAACTGTGAGAACAATTAACTAGATAGCTTGCCCTCAGAAGTGGTGGGTGCTTCATCCCTGGAGGTTTCTAGGAAGAAACTGGAGTGCCACTTGTCTGAAATGGTATAGGGTTTCCTGCTTGAGTAGGGGGTTGGACTAGAGGACCTCCAAGATTTCTTCCAGCTCTATTCAATTCTATTAATCTCCGGGGTGTGTTCAGAACTTAAAAGTGTGATGATGCAAGCAAGAAAACCATCCCCCAAAGTAAAATAATGCTAAACAGTGGAACAGATTAGCCACTTACCTTTGGTTCATTCATATTTCTTTATGTATGTATTTATTTATTTATTTACTAGCAAATTTATTTGCTGCCTATCTCGTGGTTCAAGGTGACTCTTCTACAGATAGTCTTCGATTTACAATCATAATTTTGAACTCAATTACAGATTGAGCTCAACTGTGATTGAGCTCAGAATTATAGTTGTATGCAGTTATGGTCATTAAGCAAGTTGCCAAATGACTAAACTTGAGTTGATGACATTTTTTGTGGCATTAAGTCATTAAGTGAATGCCACAGTTGTTAAGGAAATCCATTATATTCAATAAATGGGTTTTTTTTTTTTAGAAACCAGACGTAAATGCAGGAAACCAGCAAAAAACATTGAAAATTTGGTCACATGACTATGGGGTACTGCAAACATCTAGGTTCCAAGCACACATATTGCAATCATGTGACTTTGGGGGGATGTGAATATTGTAATCTTAATTGTAATTTCATAATCATATTTTTTGGGGGGAGGGGCAGATGCATCATAATTTCTAACAGTTGCTAAGCAACTGGTCATAAGTTGAAGAGCACCCCTATGTAGATTGAATATGTGTATTCTGAGAACAGGAGCCCATCAAGATGGCCAGCCTTTCCTGAATGCTTTGTGAAGTAGGCAAGATCTCATCTATAGCACAAATGAAGTGAGGAGGAGAAATAGATCAGTCTGCCACACTGAATGCAGTGTTAACACTTCCACTTTGCACTCTCCTTATATTTACATAGGAGGTGGCCAAGGGATATATATATCTAAAAGAAGAAGAAACTCAACACTTGTTAAGTCCCAAAGGAGCAGAAGACTACTACACTATTAACATGTGCTATGTCCAGTAAAATGCTGGGAGTTAATTTACACAAAAGCCCCCTTAAGTATTGCCATTAGGCTGCATTATACTATCAATACTGCTAGGCCCAGCCACTGGAGAAGTCCCTCTCCTCCCTCTACATGGCTTTTACATTATTCATAGGAGAGTCTCATGCATTAAGAATGATATGAAAGGCTGTGTTATATTACTTACAGTTCTGCTCCTGAAGGGCTGCAGTAGTAGCTCTCACTAGCAGGCCAGTTTGGGTGGTGGTGGTGGTGGTGGTGGTGAGTATTTACAACATCTTTATTTTTCACTCTGGAATTGTCTACAGAGCTAAGCCCATGCATAAATTCATGGAGGTAGGAAAAACCTTTGGAAGGACAATGACTGCAGGGTAGAAAATATACTTGGCAACCAAAGGAACTAGACTCCAAATTATGGGGTTCCTCCAATTAAACCCATGTTTCTCAAACTTGGCAACTGGAAGATGTATGGATGTCAACCCAGTAGGGCTGGCTAGAGAATTGTGGGAGTTGACATTCACACACCTTCAAGGTACTAATACCATTCTATACAGCCTTAGTAAGACCACACCTAGAGTACTGCATCCAGTTTTGGTTACCACACTATAAAAAAGATGTTGAGACTCTAGAAAAAGTGCAGAGAAGAGCAACCAGGATGATTAGGGGACTGGAGGCTAAAACATTTGATGAACATATGATAAACTAGCCATGACCAGGAACTGGGCATGGCTAGTCTAGTGAAAAGAAGGACCAGGGGAGACATGATAAAAGTCCTCCAATATTTGAGGGGCTGCTACAGAAAGGAGGGGGATCAAGCTATTCTCCAAAGCACCTGTAGACCAGACAAGGAATAATGGATGGAAACTGAACAAAGAGAGATTTAACCTGGAAATAAGGAGAAACTTTCTGACAGTGAGAACAATCAACCAATGGAACAGGTTGTCCTCAAAAGTTGTGGGAGCATCATCACTTGAGACTTTCAAGAAGAGATTGGACTGCCATTTGTCAGAAATGGTGTAGGGTCTCCTGCTTGGGCAGGGGGTTGGACTAGATGACCTACAAGATCCTTTCCAACTCTGATTATCAAGTTTGAGAAACATTGATTTAGACCAAGATATTTTCTTGTATTACTATTATAGCATCCTCCTTCCCCTTCACATTAAATTTAATTCCATCTTTCTTGAGCTCAAAAGGGATATACAAAGTGTACTTCCCATATTCTAATCCAACAAGAATTCTCTGAAATAGATTGGACTAAGTAATACTAGGTTGCCCAAATTAGGCAATTAGATTTATGGAAAAATAGGGATTAGATCCTAGTCTCCTTGGTCCCAGTTCAACACTTTGACTATTACACAGCAATGGCTGTTAATAAAAAGAACAGTTATCTGGATTCAAAACTTAGAATACTGTGGCCTTGTTTCCTGCTACTTAAAGATGACAAACATAGCAAATTGATGAAGCATATTTTCATGATTTAATGTCTTTTCTGCTTTAATGTTTTATGCTGTAAGCTGCCCAGGGTTGTTGGATATGAAATGGGAGTCAAATAAAATTTATAGATAGGTAGGTAGGTAGGTAGGTAGGGTAGGTCAATGGAATAAATGAAAGAAAGAAGAAAAGAAAGAAAGAAAGAAAGAAAGAAAGAAAGAAAGAAAGAAAGAAAGAAAGAAAGAAA